GAAGCCAATTGTGCAGGGTCCGTGGGCAATTGCAACGCCGGTCGGCTAAATTATTATAATGTCGAACGAACAAAGCATAGCTCACCGGAAATTCTATGCTAATGAATTACGAAATCGAATCCTGACTACGTTCGCTGCGCGGATCGTGCACGCGCGCAACCCTTCCTCGCCAATTTAGTTACCGTGGAATTTTTCATCGACCGATCGTAACGCGAGACTCTTTGATACGAGATGTTTTACAAAAAAAAAGGGGTGGGCGGGGGCAGTGGGAACGGAAAAATAATATTACTACCGGTGGATAGGATCTCGACGGGAAGAGAGCGTTGTTGATACTAGCCCCATCCTCTGCCCGTGGAAACGTCGTCAATTACAGAACACGTAATGAATGAACGCCTTCATAATTCGCGAAAAAAAACTTATCTCCTCGTCCCTTTAACGCGTCAACGGCTGCCGTCAACAGCTGCCCGTACGCTTGGCTTAGCTCGGGACGTAGTAATGATTCTACGGAACAGAAGTAAATGTAGAAGACCCGCCACCTTCGTGTCTCTGCTATTTCTCGTCGCGACAGACCGTATAATGCGAGCACGACCGTGTCGCGACTCAGAGAGAAAGAGAGAGAACACGCGCGCGTATAGAAGGCGTTCACCGAAACCTCGTCTCGACGATCCTTGACGGAAATTCAGAAGTTGCGTTTCCTTCCTCCTCCCTCTTTTTTTTTTATTCCATCCCTCATCGTTTCTTTCCCATTTCTGTTTTTCTTATTTCGTAAACGTGTATAATAGTACTCACGCTGCCGGGCGATAAGGGTTTTACGCGTGAGAATACGCGGTGCCACGCCCGCGCGTATCAACCCCCGCCTCGCGCATTCAAACGAACGTTATTAACGACGCGAGCAAAACCGAACCTTCGACTTAATGGATTCAACGGCGAAGGATTTCATTTATCACATGTATGTGTGCACGCGTGCTTTCCCGATGACGATAGTCGAAAGAAAAGACATTTCGCGTAAGCGGAAAGCTGTCTCCCTCGAGGGCGAGATCCAATACCAACGAACTAGACTTCGGGATCTCCCATGGCCGGGCACGCGCGCGCGCGCATAATATCGCAAACGCATTTATACTATATGCGTGCAATATGCAAGAATGTTTGCACGCAGTTCTCTCTCCCTCTCTCTCTCTCTTTCTCTCCCTGCATATGAACCTTCCCATTTCATCGTGCACTAATCACGGTAAAAGCCGTAGCTCACGCCCGTTATCCGGCTGTGTCTTGCCTTACTTAATGGAAATATGAGAGGCGTTACACTCGTCTGGTGACACGTCTATCCCGTTTTTTTATTTCTAGTAATACCGCGGGGACATTGTTACACAAACACGGCATGCCCGTTGTGCCTCCGTTCGTCCCTCCGTATGCCTACTCTTCTCACTTGGCCAAAATTATAGGAAGGACACGGGCCAATGATGCTAATCGAATGATGACACCGAAGTAAAAAATAGAAAGCAAAACACTCGTGCAAAAGTTCGTGCATACTCGTTTATAGAAAATTCGTCAGAACTGCAGGACTTTCCTAGTCGTCACCCTGTAACAATTCCTTAAGAATGTATTGGCTATACAATCAATCCCAAAAGTTTATGCACTTTAGAAACGCATTTTTTAAAAAGAAATCAGACGTCGGAAGAACATTGCTAATAATAAACAACAAAAAAAAATTTTCGATTTTTCCGAGATTTTTCCAAGGGATACCCCTTCAATTTCTTCCAAATTTTCGTTTTTGGCCAATAACTCCCAAAACGTTGGACATATGGAAAAATTGCATATGACCTTTCTTGTAGAGAACGACGAGATCTACAATTTCCATGTAAAAATTCTTCGCTAGCTTCAATAG